TTGAATGTTGATTGAACCTTGTATTTCCCTTATATCATTCACCTTCAAATTTTGTACATTCAGAATAAAAGTAATTTGCATTTGACACTGAGCAAAAAGCAGTATAAAAGTGAATGTCAGAAAGAATGTTAGCTTGAACCCACAAGCTTCAGACTCAAAGGTCAGACCCTACTTCTCCGCTCGCACCCTGTGCTCAGCTTACATGGGTTCAGACATGTATTGAATTTGTGACACACCCACACACTATTAGTATATTTATATTATTATTATAATTCTTATTATAACATTCACCGTCTTTCTTGTTTTTTTTCTCATGAGTTTTTCATTTGGCACAATGGCTGACTAAAACAGACGGTGTGGACTTGCAACATGATGTGGTTTTCGTTGCTGTCGAAGCAGGTTTGGACACTGAGTGGGGGTTTGGGGGTGGGGGTGGTGGGAGGTTGGCCATAGGTATGTTCAAAGAGGTAGGATTTGAGATCAGACTAAAAGATAGAGAGGGAGCAAGATGGAATAGTAAAGGGAGTTTCAGAGGTTGAGGGAATAGGAACTGAGAGGGCAGGGGACGCGCAGCAAACCCAAGTAAGCTGAGCATAGGGTGTGAGCGGAGAAGTAGGGTCTGACTTTTGATTCTGAAGCTTGTGGGTCCAAGCCACACATCAGAAAGTGGCTCAGCTGTTAGTTAGTATTCTCATCACTTTTAAGTCCAAAGGTTGTGGGTTCATGCTGCCCATCAGAATAATTTGATCTCGTAGTCTAGGCTGACATTCCAATACAGTGCTGGGGGAGCGCTGTATTGTTGGAGTTGCTGTCCTTTGGGCGAGATATAAAACCAAACTCCAGTCTCCCTGTTCAGGCGGATGTTAAAAATCCCATGGCATTCTTCAAAAAGGAAGAGTTTCTCCTGGTGTCCTGGCCAATAATCCCATGTTTTAAGAGTATGTCTGTCATTCAACATGAAGGAGAAACAACTGCAGGCATTTGAGATGCACTGAACGTACAGCAGCAGTGTACACACATGGTAAAAGTGAACAGCTTAGTTTTGAAGTCTTGCTAATTATTAACTTTCTCACATATAATAATAATTTTTGCAGTTCATGTAGCGCCTTATCACACTGAACCATCTCAAAGCACTTCTGAGTTTTCCACAAGTGTAGTGGCTTGTGTATAAATAGGTAAGTGTGTATTTTAAATGTAGGGACTGTACCCTATCTCCACATTGGGATAACAAAGTCAACTTGCATTTATATAGCACCCATGCAGGGTAGAGTCCTGGAGCTCTCGACAGTGGCAGAGTTTGACACTGAGCTATGGTGGAGAGGGAGGGAGGGGGGGAGGTAACCGTAAGCACAATCAAAAAGAAAGATATTTATGCGGGATCTGAAGGTGGGGAGGGAGGGGGCAAGGCGGAAGGATTGAGGAAGACAGTTTTGGGGCGTAGTGCCTGAAAGTACAGCCACCAATGGTGGAACGGAGGGCATGAGGGACAAATATGGAGTCCTGTAGCTCAGTGGTTAGATCACTCGCTTTGCAAGCGAGAGACCTGAGTTCAATTCCAGTCAGGGCGAAACCTTGGGCAAGTTTCCTTACTCCACACACCTAATAATAATCCCTACAAAACCAAAAACAATAATAAAAAAAATTGGTCATTTTCAATCTACGACCGTCTGTGGGACATTGCTGTGCGCAATTGGCTGCCGCGTTCGCCCACAAATATAGTCAATTCACTTTACAGTGTGTTCTGTGAAGCGCTTTGGGACGTCCTCCCGACGTGAAAAGCGCTATATCAAATGCAAGGATTATTATTATTATAAATAGAAGGCCGGAGCCAGCCGAGCGGAGGCAGTAGGTGGAGGAGCGGGGTGTAAGCAGGTCGGATAGATAGGGAGGTGTGAGGGAATGAAGTGATTTGAAAACGGGTGAGAGAATCTTGAAATTAATCCATTTCGTGATTGCGGGCCAGTGGAGCCTGGCATGGACTGGTGTGATGGGGGTATGGAGTCTCGTGCAAGTGAGTATCCGGGAGACAGGTTTCACTTGAGGATGTCCTCAAATGTCCTCAAACCTGAATGGCTTAGCATATTTGTGTGATTTATGAACATGATATACAGCCAGTAGTACTCCTGAGTGTTTTAACCACTGGAGGTCTCTTTGTAAATATAGCGCAGTACAAAGCAAAGCAGCACCTTCTAGTGACAGAAAGCTATTATTACACATTGCTTTCCACTTGATTCTCTTTTTCATCAACACAATCACACTAACATATGGACAGTAACACATTAGTGGATGTATATTGAAAACCAAAAAGAATTTCTAATGTCTATGATTAAATATTGCAGTCCAAAGCCTCCGGTCTCTGCAATATATGTAATTGTCATACTACAAAGAGTAAATACGAGCAATTCCTGATACCTCTCCAGATCAGACCTGCAGAGGCAATGTTAAGTGATCGTGCAAAAGTGGTCACTGAAACTCTGAGAAAGTACTGTATAGAGGTTCAAAACATGGCTAACACAGTATTTGCTAAGAATCCACGTACAAATTAATTTGTTCCAACAAACAAGAAAAAGTTTGAATTTCTATAAAACACTTTTTAAACACAAACATTGAGAGACTTACTTTTTATTTTAGATCTGCAGGTCACACACCTCACTCTCTGCATCATCAGGTTATACCACTACATTTCCGCACCTATCTCTCGTTCACCCATAGTATTCCAGCAATTTAATGTGCATGAAACACAAAGATGGCAGTTCTAGATTCTCAAAAAAAAACTTGTCCCTCCTGTGTAAATTAATCTGTGTTTATTTTCTAGTAAATCATCTTCAGACAAAGAGTAACAATCCATCAACACATGAAATTAAATTCATTAAACGGTTTCAAGCAAACAAAGCATCAACAACAACAACAACAACAAGATTCCATTTATAGAGCGCCTTTCACGTCAGGAGGACGTCCCAAGGCGCTGCACAGTTGGGTCATGACCCGAGCAGGGGGGAAATGGTCAGGGTGAGGGGAGGGAAGGGAGGGAGAGAGGAGGGGGGAAATGGTCAGGGTGAGGGGAGGGAAGGGAGGGAGCGAGGAGGAGGAAGAGAGTCGAGAGGGGGGGGGGGGAGGGGATCAATGGAAAGATTGGATTTTGACATGAATTTATTTAAAACTGAGACTCTGATCAAAGAAAACAACCTGATAGGAGGCAAATCTCTTCGGTTTAAAAGTTTGGGGAATGGTTTGTTTACAGTGTAAAACAAAGCGAAGAAACAAGTGTTTTGGAAAAACTTGGCTTAAATATATGCCAAAAAAGAGGAAATACTGTACATTCATCACCACCTAAAAGTACTGATTTATAAATCATCTCACAGAAAAGGCACCCTCCACTTAACCATTCAGTCTCCATCCTTCCACAGCACAAACTGCAGCATTGTATGCAGTGTACAAATCCCTTCTGTACGTGTCTGTGTGGCGTTTGCTGCACAGTTATGCATGCATACATTAATCAAAAAAGGTCCATTTTAATATAAACAGCAAGAGCCCAGGTTCCATGATTTGAAATATGGACAAATTTCATGTATACAGAGCACGACCTCTTCCCAGCTATCTGGCTCCCATATAGCTGAACAAGCCATCTTCCTCAGAACCATATTTCTACCCCTTCCCAAACCAAATCAGGTATGTTTGATAACCCAAGCCTGCTACCCAAATACAAAAGTGGCAGAATCCAGGAATCAAATCACTGCCATCTGCACCACCAGATTGAGAAAATAATTGGCTTTTGGAAAGAATATATTTGTTAGGCCTTTCCTGTATTATTCAAAAGAAGTGAACCTGTTCTCAGCATAATCAAAGAACTTACATATCAAGATTATAATACAATATAAATTGTACATTTATATAGCTGCTATATATAAATGTATATAGGTGCTATATAAATTTACATTTGTAATAGTACCTTTCATATCTGGAGGACACCTCAAAGCGCTTGAATTTTTAAAAGACAGAAAGATGGTGGCAATGCTCTCAAGCATTTTGTGCTGAGACACGTTGCCCACCTGGAAGCTCACAAGGAGTTCATAGTACCTATGGAAAGAACTCCCTGCTAGTTTCCAGGTGGGCAAACAATTTTTTGTTTGGTTTGGATGCTTTTAAGCATGGTGATGAGCTTCCGCCTGTGTAAAATACCTGGCTGAAGAAAAAAAATCTCACAGGCTGACCCACCTGTCTCAAACCGAGAAATGCTCTCCCGGTCTCAGGAAGATGTTTGTCTCAGTCTTTACCCCCCACCCCCAGGAGCTATTCTTGTTTGAAGAAAATATATAGACGAAACCTGAGTGAAGCACCGAAGACTGTACGCGCGGGTTACAACCATTCTTTAAAAAAAGGAATTGTGGAACGTCTGAGGATTCGGCATCAGAATTAAAACCAAACCGCGAGAAACTACTCGAAAGTGGTGGGTGAGGAACAACAATAACAAATAATCCTCGCAAAGCGTAAAATGCTGCAGATGCTGGAAACCTGAAACAAGAACAGAAGTGGCGGGGAACGCTCGGCGGCTCAGGCAGCGTCCACCGAGAGAGGAAAGTGAGTCAACGTTTCGGTTCGGTCGTGGACCCCAAACGTTGACCCACTTTCCTTTGCTCGGTGGCTGCTGCCCGAGCGGCTGAGGGTTCCCTCCCGGCCGCTTGTTGCGTGTTTCCCGGCAATCCTTGCACTTGATATTGCGCCTTATCATGTCGCTGAGGCGTCCCAGAGCGCTTCACAGGATATACTATGAAGTGAATCTACTCTAACTATACTCCAGTAAAGTTTCAGTCCTTCAGCATGAAAACGTCTGGGTGGTGTTGCCATAAAGTCTCACTGGAGGGGGAGGGGGAGGGGCGGGGGGGAGGGGGGGAGGGGGGGGAGGAAGGAGGGGCGGTTCCTCCCTCCCTCCCTCCTTCACTGGCTCCTCGGCCTCTCCTTTGCCCTCTCCCTCTCCCGCTTCACCCCCACCGGTCACTCACGCTTGTACTCGGCCATGAGCCTCTTCAACGCCGTCCCCGCCATCGCCACCGACCGCAGACACTCCGTCAGCTGCGAATCCGCTTCCGGGTCACCGCCCGTCTGACCTCTCCCCTCCCCCCCCCTCCCCCCCGGGGCCGGAGCAGCTGTGGCCGCGCGCGGATTGGGCGGCTTTTTGTTGTTGTCATTGTGTGTGAGATAAATAAACGGCTCTCGGCGTCATTTTTTTTAATATAAAATATATTAAAAAAAGTGTTTTTTTTTCTTTTCCCTTTGAAGATGTTCTTCGCGCCGTTTCAGAAACGCTAAAACCCAAACCGGGCGCCGCCGCCGCGACCCCGAGGGCGGCGTCACGTGCGGTTGGGCGGGTGTGGGGGGCGGGCGGTGCCGGACTTTGGGCTACAAACCCGCCCGCGACCCGGACCGCAATTCGCGACGGACCCCAACCCCCCCCCCCCCCCCCCTCCACCGCCGCCGCTCCGCACGGCTCCCGTTTGCTGCTGCACCAGTCTCGGGGCCGCGGCTCGGGCTCGGGCTCGGGCTCAGGCCGCCGGGATGACCGGGTCTCCCCGGTTCCCGCTGCTGTTGCTCCTGGGGCTCGTCGTGACGCCTTTGGCTCGGGCCGCGGCGGACGGCGGCGCCTTCGACCCCGGGCAGACTCCCAGCGCCGACGTGGCAGCGGCCAAACAGCGCAGGTACTGAGCTCCAGTACTAATATCCGTACTGTACAGCCACAGAGAGTAATAGTGTTAGAGTATTAGTGATAGAATAATATCACTACTGTGCACAGGGAGAGGCTAGTCATTGTTACTGTACACGGGAGAGGAAACAGTATTATTACTGTATACAGGGGAGGAAAGAGTAATATTATTACTGTATACAGGGGAGGAAAGAGTAATATTATTACTATACAGAGAATAAAGTAATATCGCTGTATACAGGGCGCGGGTACAGTAATATCACTATACTCGGGAGGATAGTGTCAGGCTATAGTAGATGGGGAGGATAGAGTAATATTACTACTGTTCATAGAGAGAGGATAGAGTAATTACTATTTTGTGGACTGTGGAGTCCGTAGCTCAGTGGTTAGAGCACTCGCCTCGCAAGCGCGAGACCTGGGTTCGATTCCCGTTAGGGCGAAACCTTGGGCAAGTTTCCTTACTCCACACTCCTGATAATAATCCCTCAAGAAAAAAAACGATAATAAATCAATCCACGACTGTTTGTGGGACACTGCTGCGCGCAATTGGCTGCTGCATTTCACCCACAAATGTACAGTCAATTCCCTTTACAGTCTATTTCTGTGAAGCGCTTTGTGACGTCCAGAAGACGTGAAAAGCACTATATCAAATGCAAGGATAATTAGTATTATTTTACATTGGGGAGTATATAGAGCAATAACATAAATACTTTATCCAAGGATGGACTTGGTATCTACCTTAATTGTTGTGCAGAGAGATAAGGAGCTGTTGCTGAAGCTCTGCACATCCAATTAATGGAACTATTCGTACGAAGGATAGGTGTGAGTTTCTGGACTTTGGGCTAGATGATGGCAGTACTCTCACCCATTTCATGATGAGTTTTGTTGCTCATTAACTGGCTCAAATAAAGCTCCTGTTGCCCCCTGTCCAGTTAGCGAGGGCTCAAACTTGCAATTGTCTAAAGACCTGCTTTCTTCCAGGGTCTGGGGGGAGGGAGAGTTAAGTGGCTCTTACTTCTGTCTCTGTCTTGCGTCTCTTTTGGGCTGATCTGATTCCAAGGTGAATGTGCCTAACAATCGAATATCAAGATCGATGTAATGCTTCGTAGTCCAGGTCCTGAGCCAGGCAAGTCCAGAGTAGTCCAAAGCACTGTCGATGATGGATCAGCCAACTTAGCTCATTATCAGGACTTGGAGGAGCAGGGTATTGGGGATAGGGTATTGCAAAAAGATTCCAGAACAAAAAGCACCTAAAATGCAGGATGTCACAGAATTATCTTTCTCTTTAGGTATTTATTGTATGATGTGAATCCACCAGAGGGATTCAACCTTCGGAGAGATGTCTATCTCCGGATGGCATCCTTGATGAAGACACTGCTAAAGAATGAAGACTGGGTTTTGGTGCTTCCTCCTTGGGGGCATCTTTACCATTGGCAGAGCCCAAACCTTGAACAAGTCCGCATTGTTTGGGCTGCATTTTTTGATGTGCCCAGCCTAAATAAGAATGTTCCTGTCATTGAATATGAGCAGTACATTTCAGGTAACTTCACAAACTGCCCTTAACCTGGCACCAATTGTTTGCTTGTGGACACAGGACAAATGATTCAAAGTGATTTTAAGCAATGTGTTGCTTATGTGAAAGACCAGGGAGATCCCAGTTCTGATCCCTGGTTTACTGATAGCAACTGAGTGTGGGCACTAAAATTGGACTTGTTTTTATTGGGTTAAGGTGCATACTATTCCCAATCCTATATGTTGTCTAGTAACCAATGGTAGAAAGTACTTCTAAGGAAGGACAGGATCTGGGCAGTTTCATATTTTAACTGTTAAGTGTTCAAATCAATGTAATGGTCAATGTGTTTGCAGACACCTGCTGTCCAAGATCACATGTGAAGAAGAGTGGAGAAAATTGAGGGAAACACTTTCCAAATGGGATCTGGGCAGTTTCACATTTTAACTGTTAAGTGTTCAAATCAGCAAGAGTGTGTATGCTGTCTTGTCCTCTGTGGATGTTTTACACAGGATGTAATCAGGTTTCTGGTAGGATATGTGCATGTTGCGTGCAACCTGCTGTTGCTGTTTATATGGAGTCCTACAGCTCAGTGGTTAGAGCACTTGCCTCGCAAGCGAGAGGACTTGGGTTTGATTCCTGGCAGGGTGAAATGTTGGGCAAGCTTCCTTACTCCACAAGCCTCTGTTTATCAAGCAATAAGTAGCAACCCGGTTGTTAATCGATTAGCAGATCGCTTTTCCAGGGGTAATAATTCCTTAAAAAAAGTCAGTTCGCTTTATGGTATATTCTGTGAAGCGCTTTGAGACATCTCAAAGACGTGATAAGGTGCTATATCGAATGCAAGGTTTATTATTGTTATATTTTTCTCCTAGAGTCCGGTGGCCCGTTCATAGAGCAGATCTATGTTCTCCAAGGGTATGCAGAGGGTTGGACGGAAGGCCGCTGGGAAGAGAAAATTGACGAGCGACCGTGCATCGATGGCCTTGAGTATAAGAACGATAAGCAAGGATTTTACAGGTATTTTCCCCTAGTCTGCAAGCTCAAATCAGATGCTCTTGCCTAACAAATTTACTGCAGATCAGAGAGAATCAACCAAAAGATAATTTTGCATTGGAGCTTGCTTTCTGGAAGTGATCAGATTTTGTTTTGTAGTTTACAAACTGTGGCAGGAAATAAACCTGCAGCTACGTGAAGATCAGTCCTTGGAAACTACAAAGTACAAATGGGAAGCACAAAAGGCAGAATCCGTCAGCTTGGCTCAGTTGGTAGCATGCTCACCTCTGGATTAGAAACTTGTGGGTTCAAGCTCCACTTCAGGACTGGTCACTTCCAGTGCAGCAGTGGTGAGCTCGCTGTTGCTGGAGGTACTGTATATTTTGGATGAGACTTTAAACTGAGCTCGCGTCTGGCTGCTCTCGCTGAAAGTTAAAGGTGCCATTTCTATTTGGAAGAGCAGTGGGTTTCAAAGTCCTGGTTAATATTTCCCTTTTATCATAATTAAAGTACATTAATTTGTCATTCATCTTGTTGCTTGCTGTCTGAGACATTGCTGGTGAAGATTAGCTGCAGCATTTCCCTGTATAAGTTACTGCACTTCAAAGTAACTTACTGAGCAAAGAACTCCAGACATTTTGACATGAAAGGTTGTTATATCAACTACAAGTAATCATATAAATTTTTTTGTGTTTGATTTTGTGGTAGGGGTTGGTTCTGGGGTTACAAGGAGACGCGGGGACTCAGTGTGGCTTGTCTATCTGTCCAAGGTTCAGCTTCCATCGTGGTACCTGTCCTTCTGGAAAACACAACAGCACAGTGAGTGAGAGCAACTGTGGCAGTATAAAATCACATTACATGTCTTCTGTATGTCCCTTGGGCCCTCTGTTCGACCATTGGTGGTTGCGCTTTCAGCCACTACATCCCGAAACTCTGGAACACTTCCTCTATCCCTCCGCCTTGCCCCTTGCTTCCCCATCTTCAGGCCGCTCCTGAAGACCTTCATATTTGACCGTGCCTACAGTCACTTCCCTCTCACCTCCGGCTCGGCGGTGTGCTCCGGCACTGTTGAGCGCTCTGGGACACTGCCCTGGTGAGAGGCGCTATATAAATGCAAGTTGTGTAATGTAATCTTTGAAAGGATCAAGGGGAAATGCCCTAGGAAACACACCTGTGTGAAGTGCTTAGGGACGTCTTCCTAACATGAAAGGTGCTATATTAATGTAAATTAATCCTTGATAGTAACGATAATGGCTGGTGATGGTGTGGGTGCGCACATGTGAGTGTGTGTGTTTGCATGTGTGTGGCAGTATATTAAAAGCAAAATACAAAAATAAATATAATAATTTGATCACTCAATCCATGACTGTTTGTGGGACGCTGTTGTACGCAATTGGCTGCTGCATTTCGCCCACAAAATCAGTCACTAAACTTTTCAGTATATCCTGTGAAGCTCTTTGAGACGTCTCAACGACATAATAAGGCGTTATATCAATGCAAGGATTATTATTATCCTGTGAAATGCTTTGGGTCATCCTCCCAAAGTGAGAGGCACTATATCAAATTATATTGGGGTAATTGCACACAATTCCTTCTGCTTATTCTTAACCGTCAAAGACTGTTTCCCCCTGATAGATGCAAACCTATCTCGGAAGACATGTAAAGCGCTATATCAAATACAAGGATTATTATTATATAACCTGCTTTTTCTTTCTCACTTTCTCTCTTTTCGTTCTCCAAATCCACTTGTATTTGGCAGAGTGGAAATCCTCTTATATTACCCAGTTCACCTGCAAGCACTTTTGACAGGTTTCAGATAGAAAGGTGACATTTTGATTGTTTTGCAGGTCTGTGATGTTGGACAGAGGCGAAAACCTGCTACATGACCATTATGCAGGGAAAGATTACTGGGATGTAAGTACTGTATTGCTTGCATTAGCCTATAAACATTACGCTTCCAGCCAAAGAATGTTTGCTAACACACTGCGATTAGGAATTAATTCTTTGTACTTTGTGCTCTCTGGTTGGTATCTGCAGGCTCGGAGAAGCATGGTATTTGCTAAACATCTCCGTATGGTCGGAGATGAATTCAGGGCAAAGTACCTCAACTCTACAGATGAAGTAGATAAGACCGTTTACAATGAGGATTGGACAAAGATGAAGGTGAGCTTGAAATATTATTTCATGATACTTTGCCTAGCTGAGACAACAACTACCCTGTTTGGCCTTTGTTTGGGCAGCGTTGAGCAACTTCTTAGTGCTCAGGATTGACAATGGTTTAGATTTCTGTGGCTTTGTCACGTGTGTCTCATTGGAACCAGTTCAGTCCCAGACCAACCCCACTTGTCTCTCTTCTCAATTTCTCCCCTCTCACTCCACACTCCGGGCGGCAGAGTTTTGAATGAGCTGGATCTTGTGAATGGTGGAGCTGGGGAGACCAGCGAGGAGAACGGATTATCAGAACAAATAGTGGAACAAGAAACTATAAAGAGCGTCAACAAGGAAATAGACAGGAATATCATCTTGTGGAAAATTGGATTGGTGGTTAAATGGACCGAGTCTACTCCTGCTTGAAATTATTCCACTTTTAATAGTAGGGATAGTGGGTTGTCATCCCGATCTGAAAGGTGCTAAATAAATGCAACTTTTTGTTGTTGTCCTTCCTGCTCCAGGTAAAACTGGGCATTGCAAGGGGTGGCCCATACTTGGGAGTACATCTAAGGAGGAAAGACTTTATCTGGGGACACAGAAAAGATGTGTCCACCATCAGTGGGGCCGTAGAGACGATCCACAACCTCCTGGAAAAGCTGAAGCTGGATAGAGTGTTTGTGGCAACAGATGCAGCTGAAGATGGTAATAATCCCACGGCCTTGCAGTGACCAGCAGCCAATACATGTTCAATCAAATCCTGCTGTCTAGATTTCATCCATCCTCACCTGGAGGTACTGCTTCACAGGATCACTAACTACTTTGGCTCATACATGCTTTCATTACATCGAGGCTTGACCATGCAAACTCCTTGCTTCATTCTCCCCAATTTCTCCCTCCACAGGCTGCAGATGATCTGCAGATCATCCAGAACTCTGCAGCGCATGTCCTCTCCCGCACCAGGCTCTGCGACCCCATCCTCACCCGACTCCACTGGCTTCCCATCACACAGAGGATACAGTTCAAGATCCTGGTCCTCACCTTCACAGCCCTCCAGGGTCTTGCTTCCCCCTACCTCTGCGACCTCCTAACCCTCTACCATTCTGCTTGCTCCCTCTGCTCAGCGGGCTCTGGCCTGCTTCATGTCCCCCACCTCGCTCGTCCCACTATTGGCGGATGGGACTTCTGCCACTCTGCCCCCACCCTCTGGAACTCCATCCCACAGTCCCTCCACCTCACCCCCTCCCTTGCCTCCTTCAAGACCCATTTCAAGACCTTCCTCTTCGACCGTGCTTTCGATCTCTCTGCTTTGCACTCTGCCCTTCACCCTCCCCGATCCCCAGCTCAGGTCCGAAACTCTGTCTGTCCAGTGCCTTGGGAAGTCCTCCAGATGTAATTTTGTTGTTGATTTGTTGGCTAAGTGGAAATTCATTATGTTGGAGTTGGGGGGGTGGAGGTAGAGAAAGGCAGCAGTGCACATCATTGCCAAGCCTGTTGTCATTCTCATCCAGCATCCTCTCGCCTTAAGTTTCCAGCGGGGGCTGCTGAATTGCGATCAGGATGACTTCCTTTGCAACCCAATGCTGTTGGACGTCCACCAAGCGCTCAGCTAGCAGAACAGGTTTGAATCCTGCGGCTACCAGATCTGTCTGGTTCATTTTCACTGGGATGCGACTTTACCACCTGGTCTGTCGAGGAGGTCCCCGTGTGCTTCTCTGTGTGATCAGTGCATATCTTGCTTGTGAGTGTTCAATATCAACAGTGATGTTGGGAAATGGAAAGGAGCCACTTTTTTTTGTATTTATTTATTAGCAGCGGGATACACATTACCCCTCACTCCTAATCCCAGCCACATTGCTGCGCAGAAGTGCTGAGCATGGGATATTCTTAACCTCTGTTAGGGGGCAAATGCAGAGAAATCTTGAAGAAACTTGAAGCAAAAGAGAGACTTGGGATGGGAGTCTGATGGTAGACATTGTTTTTGGGAGAACAAAACAAGGAAGGGTGAATCACATGAATCATAAATCAAAGACTAGATCAGCCTCATAATCTGTAAAAGCCTGTGGAGTCCCATAGTGTAGTGGTTATTGCACTCGTCTTGCAAGCGAGAGGACCCAGGCAGTGTGAAACCTCAGGCATGTTTCCTTACTCCACATGACTCTGTTTATCTAGCAATAAGTAGGTTGTTAGTCGATTGGCAGATCGCTTTCCGATGGTAATAATCTAACCAAAAACAAAACAAAAAATTGGTCACTCAATCCACGATTGTTTGTGTGCAATTGGCTGCTGTACTTCACTCACAAAATACACAGTCAATCCACTTTACAATATATTCTATGAAGTGCTTTGAGTCGTCTCAATTACGTGATAAGGCACTATGTAAAATGCAAAGATGATTATATTATAAATGTATTAAATCAAACTAAGCCCTCTGACTACAAGGGAAGCGGAATCGTATGTGTGACCTCTTCTTTTCCCCCATTCTGTTGGAGACTTGACTGACTGAAATTGATGTTTCTTCTCTTTTAGAGCTGGATGAGCTGAAGAAACATCTCCCTGAAATGATTCGTTTTGAGCCATCTCGAGAGGAGCTCGAGCTGTACAATGATGGGGGGGTCGCGATCATTGACCAGTGGATCTGTGCTCATGCCAGGTCAGAGAAATCTTTCACGTTCCTGGAATAGATGGACACTGTCAGTCAGAATCCAGTAGAGTAACACCTGAGCTGCAGTAGAGGAAACTGTCACATAATCCAATGCAGTAAAGCCAGGGACAGCATTAGGAGAGCACTCGCCCAGAATCCAGCAAAGCCAGATGGGCACCTTAATATGATATGTTTTGGCAATTTCTCAAAGCAGCTATTAAGTGTAAAGTGTTCTGTGTTGTCATACTGGCATCTTAAACTGTTTTCAAATATTTATTGACTAAAATGACCTTGTGAAATTACTCTATAACGGTACCATCTAACCAAAGTGAAACCCCAATTTTAGTACAATGAAGAAAGCAGGAAGCTAAACCTATACGAAATAATCTAAAATATTTCTGACCAAGTTTATTTCTGGTCTTTTTCGAAGCTGGAAATTAGGCACCATTCATTCTAATTAATATGACTGATCTAGTAATCAACTTGAGAACAAAGTTAAACTTGTTACAATCCCCCCTCCTCCATCATTCCCTTATCCTACAGTGCAGATATGACATCCACCTAAATGTCAATAAAACTGCAAATCATATTTTACACTTTAGGGGAGCAACGCTCAATGTCATTCATTAGCAAGCGTAACTTCCAGCTCCTACTTACAATGTTCACAGGCTAATGCAAGCGACACTTTAGTCTGTGTTCCTGAGTTTTGCTTTTGCTGTTAATTCATGTTCATTAGTAACACCTGAGCAGCTGCAGAATAAAGCACACAGCCAGTGCAGGTTAAGCAGGTCTGTAATGAACTCTTTACTTTTCAGGTACTTTGTGGGGACGTCTGTGTCAACGTTTTCATTCCGCATCCACGAAGAGCGAGAGATTCTCGGCTTTGATCCCCAAACCACCTACAACAGGTTTTGTGGTGATGAGGAGACGGAATGCGAGCAGCCTACACACTGGAAGATTGTGTACTAACAGGGCCGAGTGTGGACTTCTACCCATCGCCAACCTTTAAGGGAGTGAAGTTATCCAGATTTAACAGCGTGTAGAACGTACGAGAGGGGCATTTTGGCTGTCAAGCCTGCTGCGCCCATTTCTTACGGCAATTCTTTAATTCTAAATGTGACAATATGGTTATGAACTGAACTGAGCAGCAAAGAATCAAAGACACTGGAAAGAAAGGCTTTGCGCCACAAATTTTGATACCCTCTCGGACCTCACTCTTTTTTTTCCCCCCTTGCGCCCCTCTCCTGACATTTGGGAGAGAGACATGTGAGGTGCAGGACATTTCTGCTTTTTGTTTGAAATGACAGGCGTGTAACACCATAATGTATTCTCGCACAGTGCTTCTACAAACAAAATCACATCACCTCTGAGCCCCCAGTGGGAGACACAGCATATAATACCACATCGCTTTTCATCTGTGTTGCTGGAAGAGCAACTTATGAGCATCAGCGATCTGCTCTTAACTACCACTGTTCATTCTGCTAACACTACATTCATTTCACATTTGCCTCTTTCTATTCCCTCCCCCTTCAAAAAAAATCCTACCCTCTCCTTTGAAGAGGCATTTGTTCTGCCCAGTCCCCTGGCCTACATTACCATGGTCTGTGGGGTTGAGCAGTCCTGGTATTGAAATCTACCGCCACCAGTTTGCTGGTGTTTCATGTTGCACAGTATTAGAAAGTGACTGCCTAACGCAGTTTGCTTACATTCACAATGAAACTAATTTCAAAGTGCCAGTTCTGGGTTTTCCAGTAAATTATGCATAATAAGACACAATTAAGTCTGAGCCTGATAGTTACTTTAACATTTATTTTGATAGTTTTATTGCCATTTCTTAGACTAGATGGAATTTAACTGAAATGAGCTCAGGTCAAAGTTCACCACTCGCCTTGTGGTTTTGTTCAGCAATGTTTCAATGCAATTGCCATTTAGGGCAGTGATGAATTCAGTAGAATTATAATCACTTTCTCTTCACCCTCCTCCCCAAACTGCCCTCAGTCCACGATCAATCCTTTTATTCAGATACGAGTTGTTAGTTGATTGGTGGATTGCTTTTCTGGGAGTAATAAATCCTTAGAAAAAAATTGGTTACTCAATAAATATTAATAATCCTTGCATTTGACTTCATGTTTTCCAGACGCCTCAAAGCGCTTCACAGAGTATACTGTAAAATGAATTGACTGTATATTTGTGGGTGAAACGCGGCAGCCAATTGCGTACAGCAGTGTCCCGTTTGTGGATTGAAGTGACTAATTTTTTTTCTTGAGGGATTATTATCAGGCATGTGGAGTTAGGAAATTTGGCCATGGTTTCGCGCTGCCAGGAATCGTACCCAGGTCTCGCTTGCAAGGCGAGTGCTCTAACCACTGAGCTACAGAACTCCTCAATCCACAACTGTTTGTGGAACTGTGTGCAATTGGCTGCTGTGTTTCGCCCACAAAATATACAGTCATAGAATCATACAGCAAAAAAAGAGGCCATTCGGCCCATCGAGTTTGTGCCGGCTCTTTGAATAGAGCAATTAATGTCAGTCCTGCTCCGCAGCCCTTTCCCCTTAACCCTGTAAACCCGTCCTCAAATACCCGTCCACCGCGTTTTTAAAAGTTGTTATCGAATCAGTCTCAACCACCCTTTCAGGCAAATCACTTTACAGTATATTCTGTGAAGCGCTTTGAGATGCCTCGAAGATACGATAAGGCACTATAAATGCAAGGATTGTTATTATTACCACCACAACTAATAAAGTTTCACAACGATACCTGTACAAGAACCACTTACGGAGGAAAAGGATAAACACTGATTGAAGTGGGTTAGCCAGCAACCGGGATAGTACAGTGCAGAGTGCAGCTGAGCCCTGGAAGAGTTTGATCAGTTCCCTGCTAATGCCTGCTGACAACCACCTTCACTTCCTAACACCTGCTATTCTGCTGAATGTGACCTGGCGCAAAACAGAAATTGTACTTTGTATTTTTTATAGTTTTGTATAAATTACAGGATTTATTATTGCACCTCACAGTGTCAGTGTTTTAATAATAATAATCCTTGCATTTGTTATAGCGCCTTACCATGTCTTCAAGACGTCTCGAAGCACTTCACAGAAACTATTTCCACTGGCGGGTGGGTCGGTAACCTGGGGATACCGATTTAAAATAGTTGTTAAAAGAAACAGGAGGGGAGGAGAAATTTTTTCACACGGCGAGTTGTTCGGATCTGGAATGCATTGTCTGAAAGGCTGGTGGAAGCCGCTTCAATAATAACTTTTAAGAAGTAGATAATTATTTGGGGAGGACAAGTTTGCAGGGCTATGGAGATAGAGAGGGGGAGTGGGATTGATTTGGATAGCTCTTTTCAAAGAGCTGGCACAGACACGATGGGCCAAATGGCCTCCTTCTGTGCTGTATATTTCTATGTTTCTATGAATATACTGTAAAGCGAATTGACTATTTTGTGGGCGGAAAGCTTCAGTCAATTGCGTTCAGCAGTGTCGCACAAACAGTCAGATTGAGTGACCAAATTATTTTTTCTATTTTTAAAGGGATTATTACCCCCAGAAAAGTGATTGCCAATCGACTAACAACCAGGTTCCTACTTACTGTTAGGTAAACAGGCGTGTGGAAAGTTGCCCAATGTTTTACCCTGCCCGGGAAGCAATCCCCAGTCCTTGCTTCAACCAACCAAGAGCTCTGGGATGTTACTCTGCATGAGGGGCGCTATATAAATGCAAGTTGTTGTTACAGGACTCCACACTAATGTATGCTGGAGCCTATGTTTCCAGTTTGGAAAGATAAAAAAAATCAACAAAAAACAGGATTAGATACTCTCAAAATTAAATTAACAGCCTCTGAAAATGAAACTGATAGGAGCCCAAAAATTAAATTGTTAGAGAATAAATATCAAAAACCAGAAATTAAGAATATGCATGAAAAGTAAGGGGTTACACATCCAATCTACTTGCAAGAAAGAATGTATTTTTGATGTAAATTTCAGGTGAAGAGGTGACCAGTATCCATTAACACCTCACCAAGACTGTTAACAAACAGCCTTTGTTAACATTGAATAACATTTAGAGAAGTGACATGTGTTACATTAATTTAAGGCAATGCCAAACCTTAGGGTGGTTTGAAACATACACTAACCAATCACACACTTCATGGGTGGACCCTTTCCCGGTCACAACTACATCTACCAGATTCCTTCCACAGCTTCCTTGAGTCTTGAAAAGGTGATAGCGTTTGGCGAAATGTCGATGGAGTCTTCTTTCTGCCTTCCAGGTAGAAAAGCATAAGCATTTTTTCCTCTCCACAAACCGCACCCTACCACACCCCACTGTTTGAACAACATTGTGTGGACGCCATGCAGGCTGCAGTAATGCAACCGAACACACCTGAGAAAACCATGGGCAACACTATAACTAGACATAGGGCAAATTTTTCTAGTGCGATGAGGGTATTCTTCAGGTTGATCCAGACTTACCATCACTTCATATTCTTGCGTAACAATACTTGGTCCCCAATAAAGTTAGTCAGTTTATCTGAATCAGGCAGATAAACTGACTAACTTTATTGAACCTGCCAAACCCACAAAAATAACGCTTTGCAGATTCGCAAAAAATGCAGAGATTTGGGCAAATGAGACCCGCAACATTTTGCTTGAGTATATAAGAGTAATTTGATTGAACTAAACGAGGAGTTCAGGTCAATCGGGACAATTTGCTGCCAAGATGAGGCCTTCAATATGGTCGTGTCCTGGGCTAGAATTTTAAACAAATTTAGCATAACGACGGCAGATCAGGCAGAGCTGGTTATGGCAATAGAATTTCCCACAATAATCCCCCCTCCCAGTAACCACCCCTGGTCCAGTCAGCCATACTGGGAGTCTGTTCTAATGTGTCTGTCAACATGGATCTGAGTGTCCTTCCCGTATCATAGGAGTGGTCACCGACACTGGTGGTGGTCACCAGCTCTCAGCGTATAGCAATGGACCCCAGGGCAGGGCAGGTTTATCCCAGACACCCCATGAGCAAAGGCAGCCAGAAGTGCGGCCACCACGTCCCACAAACCGACCCACCCACACCACTGCAGGCAACTCCCCCAGCCCCTACCCCAACCCCACAACCACGGACAGAGATTAGGCCCCTTGCCCAGGATAAATGCAGAGGTTTGGGGCACAGTGACTACTCACTCAGAGACCAGACGCAAAAGGATAGACTGGGTTTTAAACCCATCAAGGCCTGTTATTGGGATTGTAATCTTTTAAGGGTAAGGGGTTGTCCTGACAAGGTCACACAGATTGATTCCTTCCCAAAGGGTAACTTCCATCATGTAGTTATGTTGTAAAATACAACCCTGTCAGGAGACACAGAAATCCCCAACCGGAGTCAGTACCTAAAGACTGCAATTAAACAATTGCAGGCTTTGCTAAAAAAGAGCACCCCCCCACCCCCACCCTCACACCTATTACAAAAGTAGATGTAGCACAGGTGTAAAAATACAAGTCTGCACTTGGAAAAATGGCAACAACAATAATTACAGACCGAGGGACCATACATTCACATGGGTTTTTGAAGGGAAATGGAAGTATCATGGATTCTCGAGAGATGGGTATTTTTGAGAGAAACCTGATGTATCACAGAATTGCTAGTCGCAGACTGCATTCTGGCTGTTTCAGGTGTGCACTAGATGGCAGCATTTTCTATATGAAGTCGTAACATTTGAGATCATTGCACATTTTAAAAAGAACTTTTAATTTTGTATCACCTTATGCTTATACAGCACTGTGAATTCACAAGAAAAAACTTTTTTCTCACTACTATACTGCAATTTATAATAAAAGCCACCAAAATATAGATCTACACTATAAATGAGGCGAAGACCCCGAGATTTAATGAAAGTAGTCTTGTCTGTTCCAGGGACTTAATTGGTAAATCCATTGTCTATATCTGACCTCTGTTATACAAACTAGAAAACAGGAGAGAAGAAGTCAGATAGGATTCTTATTTCTGATCGCTATCCAGTGACTCTGTCAGATGAAGACAAGTTTACTTAAACGTATATTCTGTAAAGCATTTTGAGATATTTCAAAGACTTTTGTATTTTGTAGATGAACTCAGTAGCCAATTTGCACACAGCAATGTCGGACAAACAGCCATAAAGTGAATGACCTTTTTTTTCTAGGCAATTTCATTGTTTATCGGTGCAGAGAGATAGTTTTCAGGTGCTCACACAAAGCATTCTGGAGACGCATTTAAAATGAAGCAGCAGAAAGCTTCTAATCACTAAACAGGATTGATTTGTTTTTCAAGCCAAGCTTCACGTAGCAAACTAATCAAAGTCTAGCCAGTGGACTTCAATAAAAACCTGTGCAATATTAGCATTGCATTTTGTTACAAGTGTAGTTTTTCCACTGCATGGCCTCTGCTGTTAAGAGGAAGTATATTGACATAATCTGTATTGGTTTTCAATGAGAGAGACGTTCAACATGTTAATTCAACAGAGAGATGATGTGCTGTTGTCATACTGTAGCATTCAGGCACTACGCTTTCAAGTGTCTTTCGAATATATTAGTTCTGTTTGTGAGTGACCGATAAGGTGAGGTGTGTTTTCTGGGACCATTACCCAGAGGATCTACAGTATCGACAGAATGTACAGTATCCGGTTCAGTGTTAAGTATTGCACATTCTATTAGTAGTTATGTGAAATCTTGCAGTGAATTGGCTTGAGCACTGACCTCACAAGCGAGAGGACTCGATTCCTGGGTAGAGCAAAACTTTAGGCAAGCTTTCTTACTCCAAACTCCTCTGTTTTCCTAGCAGTCAGTAGGAACCCAGTTGTTAGTCAATTGGCGGATCGCTTTCTGGGGTTTTAATCCCTTTAAAAATAAATAAATAATAATTTGGTCACTCAATCCGCGACTGTTTGTGGGGCACTGCTGTGCAATTGGCTGTCACATTTCACCACACTTTAAAGTATATTCTATGAAACGCTTTGAGACATCTCAATGGCATGATAAGGCGCTAAATCGAATGCAAGGATTATTATTATTAGTAGTAAAGTTGGCAAAGTTTCTAATGGATGGC